GGATTCTTTTATTTTCTCTATATAAATATATAAYTAAACGATTTCGTACGACTGTTTAACAGAACATATGCCAGTAACTGTGGCCACCGTCTAAACAGTTTAAACAAGACTGTTGTGACACTCACCCCACCCACCCTATAAAAGGTCTCAACCACTACCACTGTTGTAGATTATTACAGTCTACGCCCAAGTGATATACATACGGAGCAAGAGATCATAACTACCTTCTATAAAAATATTATAGATATTGGCATAGCACCAGCCGATGCATTTATATATGGTCTAGCAAAACAAATATACCTATTTATAAGTTTATAAGAAGTATAGAGGTCTAWAATGGCTCTAGCACTTGTATACTAATGTATTTGGATTTTAGATGTATAATAGCCATATAGAGTGTGAGGTAAAATTGAATATTGTTAATAATTGAATGGTATTTATGTATAATATAGGTAAGCATAGCTAAACGATAAGCTCATACCCAAAAAAAGTCAATACGTAGGTGGTAGGTACGCAATAACTATAGAGTATAGATAAAGCCAAATAAATTGAGTTTTTCAATTTAAATATTTGTTCTTTAACATTTTACATTAATCGARGCAAACCAATCTGTGWTAAGTTCAAAATAATTAAAAGGATAATAGTTATTATTATTTTACTACGCTTGTCGCTTATACATAATAATTCAGTGATGGTTGCCGCTTATTAGACTCACTGTTATTAACTCATTCACCAATTAAACTCAAAATTCTTGGAAAAAAGATTATAAATTTAGTTTTAGTTTTACAGAAAACTCTAAGACTTATTATTACCAATAACATTTTTTTTGGCAGGTTTTTAAATACTCAAATTAATTTAATTGATAAAATAAATTTTACATTATTTATTATTTAAACWAATTTAATCGTTTAGTTTGAAAGTTGGAAGACACATTATTAGTATAAAACTGTTTAAACGAAAATTGTTAAGAAATAAAATKATAAACAAAAAAAAACTACCTAGTTATGATGATAAGTTGTTACTTTTTATAAAAGTTTAAAACATTCAATAATTCATTCAAAATATGTTTAACATAAAAGCATGTGTTTAAATATTACATAAATGTCAAATTGAACCGTGCCTATGGTATAAGATAAAATATAATACAACTATTCTAATAAGTATATCATGTTCAATATTGATAGAAAAACCRAATAGGTACCTCGTTCAGAACATATAAGTAGCCGTAAATAAAAAAATAAAAATCACACAGAAAATAAGAATCATAATAATTCACGATCTAGGTGGATGAGTGCCAAATAMGCGTTGTTGACGATTTATGACACGATCGGCCGCCAGGGCCAAGGCACGCGCCAGCTAACACAGTAGCAGCTTGCTGCACAGTCGACCGCTTGTTTTTTATTATTRTTCGCCGCGGAGCAATGCTGACCCGTTTGCCGCGAATGCGCGCGCATTATGCGTTTGAATACGAGTGGATGACTCCAAGGCCAATACTGCATATTGTAAAAACGATAATAAAGAAAGGAATATAATATACAGCGTAATGCATCTACATAATATTATGTAGGTCATGTTATCTATGAAATGAGAATTTTTTTTATCAATGTACATGAAACTGATTAAAAAACGCATCATACGTAGGTACGAATGTACGATCAATATACACCACGTTCGTATGCTTGAGGAAGGTCAAGGTTTGAACCTAGGAAGGGGAACGTTAAATCTCAACGTCATAGCTATTATTATAACTGTAATATGTGAAGTGTTCAGCGTCGTATTAAATTKTATGCATATATTAAAATATGTGCATAAAACATAGTGTGTTTCGTGTATAATTAATTTTAGTAGCAAAGCTATAATACGGCAACCAGTATAGATATGTTTTGYCTAGGTAATGTTTTTATTTTGTTTTATTTAATTATTTTAACATCATCAGGATCATGTTCACTGTGTGTTTGGTGTAAGTACGAATTCAATAATTTATAGAAAACTCATTATAACTTGAATACATTGCAATGAATGCATTTCATCCAACGATAACCTTTGAGTCATTAAGGTGATTGATACACATAATTAGACTAAATTAAGAAATACACTACATTCTGTATAATACCTGAAKTTGCCAAGTCCTTAACTGAAAACAGTGTTTATTCAGGTTCAATAAATTTAGTATATATGCAGTCATAAACTCGTGCATTTTAAAATCATAATATTGTTTTTAATTTTTAGTATATGAAATTAGATGTACGACAGACATTCTTCTCTAAAATAATATTTTAGGACTTCGGAATGATTAAAAAGTTTGCAACTAGTAAAAATAAACTATTTATCTAGAAAAAAAAACCAATTTTTATGCATTTTGTATATATATGCGACTGAAAAGGGTAACCGAATGTAATCATGTTTAGCCAAATATAAAATTAATCATAACTAATACATATTTTTGTCTTGTTATAAATACAATAATATGATAAAGTTTATATGCTTTTCTGACATTCTGTAGATGAAACCTAAATCAAACGATCCTGTTCTTTTTTTAAATAAACTCAGAAAACGAAAAAATGTATGTTGTTTTGTACTCAATTTCCAAAATATAATAATATATTATTGATTTTAAAAATTATAAAAATTGATACAATCACGAATATAGCTCAGTGAAAATCAATATCAAAAATTAAAATGTAAAAATCAATTATTGTTGTCAGCCAAATCGTATTAACATAATAGTATAATCTTTCAACTACATGCATGAATTTAAAACGCTATATAAAACCATCAACAAGACCACTCCCTATAGGTTTTTTTTTTTTTTTTTTTTTTTTTGAAGGGTGTTAGTTTGACCAAACTTTTTGCACGATAAACTTGCCGTGTTGTGCGGAATAAAAGGAAAAAATCGATTTTTCTGACAATAAAAACGTTATCTGGACAATCCTCTTTCCCCGCGTGAGCCGCTCTACCGTCATAATTACTGTGCACAACCATTCGATCGGAGTTATAAAAATATATAATACCTGGTCATTTTATGACCACCATAAAATTAAAACTGTCAGCAAGAAAGATGGGATGTTTTGGAATGAATTTTTAAAATTTACTACCGCCAAAAAGTGAATCTCTATAAGGTATAAATGCTTCGCTTAATGTTTCYAAACCCGTCAAAAAAGCTCAACGACCACGCCCGGATATCGAATATTCATCCAACAAGATTTAATACCTTAACCAAATTCAAAAATAGTTAAATAAACAAATAAATAGTATTACCATGATGGTTTTTTTTTAAACATATACGAGTGAATATTATAGTTATTAGTTATATGAAAATTTAAGAACCTGTAAATACTTTAGGATTTAATAAATAACTAGAAATTAAGAAGTAATCATAATTTTTAATAAAATTGGTTATAATTTTTTATAATATTTAAAAGACATATTTTTCACTAATCTTTAGCCAATGTGGAAAGCAATATAGGGATTTTCTTATGTAGTAAMTAATAGGTATATCAATCTTAATTTATTTATAATCACTTTTAGTTTGGCAAAAAWATATAAAATTTAATATACTGTYATAGTAKCTGACAAATCATGTGATTTTTATTTTTGGTGCTCTTCCAAATAATTAAAAATTAAATTTAAAACTAATCACAAAATTAAAATAAATTAAAGACTAGTGAAATAATATAACACAAGTACCTACTGATATTTATCAAAAAATTTGATATTAAAATAAATACACGATATTTTTATAGAAAATATAATGTCAAAAGATATTTCTTATTCGAATAACTATAAATTACTAACTGCTATAAAATGTCATACATTTGTATATTTTAACTAGTATCCAATACACCAATGCACGTTAAAACTCATTTTACACTTATATAACAAGAACATAACATATAAAATGGTATGAATGATTGCACATTAATCATCTGTAAAATTATTGTTTTGATTTTGGTATATTTATCAATTATTTTATAATTCATTTGAAAAACATAGAAATATTTTGTTTGTTAATTTCTTCAATCATCGATGAAAAAAAGTCACACCAATAATAGGTACCTCTCATAAAAGTAGTACAACAATATTGTCAATTAATACCGATACTTATTACTTATGAAAGGCTGATAAAACAATACAAAAATCTCAATACTTGTATCATCACCATGGGGCTTATTATATTTGAAGACCGATGACGCCGTTTTATTTTACCTCTACTTTTTTCATGTCAGTACCTATAATATAATAGTTATAGGTTTAGCGAAAGTCGTTTCTTTCAGTTTTTTCCGCGTAGGTAACTATAAACATACATTATTAGCCGGCTTCCTATCAGAGATTAGAAGGTTTTTAAAATAGGTATCTTGTAGTTATTTCTAATCAATTTTTGTTTTTAAGAATTACGTATTTCTAGTTATTTATTGTATATTAAATAATTTAATAAAGTACCAATATAGGTTAGATTAATAGTTTAATAAAACTATTAGAAAACATCATATACTTAAATTGAATTAATTTAGTTTATGTATTAAACTACGTTATACAGATGATATATTATTAGTATAACGTATCCCTGTATATTATATTTTATTATTATTAGATTTATTCATAAATAAAAACAAGATCAACAATGATCAATGGTAGTTATTATATTCCAATATAAACATAAAAGTAAAAATCACAGGTAATTTTTATTTATCTGATATAATTTACAGAAAGCGATGCCTAGTAAATTCAATTTATTCCCCACTTCTTCAAATCGTTTTTTGATAATGTGTAGTACAATTATAAACGCGAGATAGTTAAAGCCAAAAATAACAATGATGATATAGAAAAACAGAAAGAGATAGGTGGGCAAGAAGATGGTATGTTCATAACAACCAAGAGAGTATTTGGCCCTTTGCCTCTTGAAATGAGCAATAAATAGTATATAGCTTATGACCGACTTCAGATATAGTTTAAATTCATTGTATAATTTGCTTATTATTTATCAAGAGTGGTAAAAATATAAATGCCTTACCTGTTTTTCTCCAGTTCATTATGAGTTGTTCTGTAACAAAAACAAACAATAAATCAATTAATWAATATAAAACAAGCACAGTGAAATGTACGTTATGTTTTCCCCTTATTTTTTATAAAAACATCGTTGATTGGCTTTTAGCCAAAACCTCAAAATGACATGCTCAATAACTGGGCCACATACGTATAGTTATTTAAAAATGCAATGCATGAAAAAATAGTGTATATTACATACGTAACCTATAAGTACAGAGTTAATCAAAATTAAATATTCAAAATTATTAAGATTACATAAGATGTGATTGAATTCTTTTTAGTAGATATGTAATCCTTTATATGTAAAATAATATAATTTAAAGACTACTAGATAATCAATAAAGAATTAAAAAATAATAATTTTTGCAATAATATACCATAGTATTCGAAAAATATATAAATAGTAGTGGGTGAACCTTATATCCAGTTAGCTATATAGCTTATTAGTCATTCATGAAATTCAAAGAATTCAATGTATTCAATTATTAGTACCTAATCAAGACAGGAAAATGAATAAAAAAATTAAATCATTTCTAGAAAATGGTAAAATAAATAAATTATCAATTAAAACTCTTTAATTTAAGATTATCATTTTTTTATAATTACAAAAATTACAATGAGATGTAAAAATAGGACTAATCAATTCTGATTATTTGTTAATTAGAAATTCCATTGTTTCATTTTTATGACAGCTAAATCTATTGATTAAATCAATCCTAATTTTTTGTTAAGAGACTGTTATTGGACCAATAATTACGCTCCATACAATGACTTCTTTTTAGTAACATAAATTAATAGGATGGAAAAATTATGAAAATTAAACAGGAAATTTGGTATGATAACATATGCTATTATGTTAGATTTRAAATTTACAATAAAATGTATATATGTTAAATACARAGATATTTATTATATGTATAGGTATTTTGATTTGCAAACATTTTAATCTAATTTTAATAGCATACAATTTCTAATAGTCAATAAAATGTTTACAATGTTCTAATAACATTTTCTCACTATACCAAAACACATACATCGTTAAAATACGAACTTTTATTTAAGAAAATATTTTGTTATAGAAGTACCTACTTAGTTACATTCATATTTATATTCTTAATCAGCTGTGTAACTAAAAATAACTTATTTTTACGAAGTGTTGTAAAATATACCTACTAGATACTTTACATTTTACCAAATATTAATGCTACTCAAGGCTAAGCACGATACTCAAAAAAAGTATCACGATACATGCATTTCGTATATCTAGATACAAGATACATTGATACCCCATTTTATATTTCCAATTTATTGAATTTTATTACTATATTACTGTTATTATGTTACTATGTTACTATATTACTATACATAAGTACTTATTAAGTCTTAGATATTAAATAATACAAAAACATTATAAATTTATAACTTATACATCGTTGCTACTTATAAATTATATTATAACAAAAAAAACCTGATCAAATATTTTATCCTACGCCACAAAGGTTGAGAAACTATTTAACACCCTCAGAAAAATAAGCAATATGTGAACACGATTGAGGAGTGTATACATGCGTACATGTGATAGCAGTTTCCTTTCCAAAATCCTTTGTTCCGTGTAAATTAGAAATTGTAAGAGATGCTCTGGGTTAGGGATGGAGAAGATTATAGTAGTAGATCTTCATAATTAGGAAGAAAAGTTTAGTAAAATGAGATGGTAGAAAAAGAAAGAAAAATACAAATATCAGTTTTAAAAGAAAATGTAATAGTTTCATTTTAGACTTGGTATTTTTCAAAAATATCCTTTTCTCTTTGAACGAAAAAAAAAAGTAAGTTTCGGTCATTAAAATAATTAAACAGAGAAATTAAGTAAATGGACTAAAAACTTAGTAAAAAGTTTACACTTGGTGATAATTCTTTTTCCTTTTTGTTGATAATAAATCTATAAAAATTAAGTAGGCAGAATCACAAAAACAAAAAACATCATTTATTTGATATTCTTAGACAATATATTTTTTTTCTGAAGAAATACAATATTATAAATGTCACATTTACTAATGGTTTATTGTTTATTAACAAAAAAATGTATAAAAGAATAATAACTAAGCAAAGGTATTTAGGTATATATAAATGCAGGTATAAATGTATAAGTAGATAAGTAATTTCCTCAACAGGATATCTAAGTTTAACACTTTAAATCCAATTWTAAATATCATAAATAAAAATTAAAAAATTGTAGTCAATAAAATGTTTATAGCTCTGCTTATAGTATTAATTATCTATAAAATCCGATATTGATAAAAAAAAATTTTAAATTGCATACAAATAGCATTTTTTTTTTTAATTTTAATTTTTAAATCTTAAAAAACATATAAACTGCGATATTATTGACTAAAATATTAAAACAAATTTAACACAATGCTATCAGATATTGTCATAATATTATGATTTATAATCAGATAAACAACGTAACGGTAATGCGAATGATATAAAATAGATAATAATTATAAATATTTTTAATCAAAACGTAAGTGATTGAATTAAATACAAAAATTAATACGCATACAAAAATTGGGTGGAATGAATGATTGTTTGGGTAAATAAAAGAAAATGATAAAATGCATGTCATAAAAAATGTGATTTCGTGTATGGATCTTGTTTTTATTTCTTCGTAGGTTTATTATAGAATTCCCTATAACTATAGGTAGATACCGTAGAATATGAAAAATTACCTATCATTTTACTATTAATACCTAATCTCAATTCAACTCAACATTTAGTCATGCAGTGGCGTATCTGTGAATTTTTTTTTTTKGGGCATAAATTAATTTCACAATCATAACAGATTGGTTATAAATTATAATATTATCTGAAACTGTAWTATAAATTATTGTTAAATACTTAAAGCATGAATCATATACTACATTAATAAGTGATATCAAAAACTTTTGATATCAAACACGATTATAATCAGTGAAAATTAAAAATATTTATTATTTACATTATTTGAGCTGGACAATGAATTTGCATTATGACATCAACAAACTTCTCCGGGGGGGGGATGCCCTGTTGCCCCTCCTCACCMCMCAGGAACGCCACTGAARTCATGTTGAGTAATAGATGAACACATTGTGTTTACCTACTGTATAAAACGTATCAAGACTACATACTACATTAGTCCTCTATTTGCTATAAAATCGAAAAAAAACATAGAAAAATTTACAACAATTTGAATTTGTTTACTTTGCTCTGAAACTGAGTAGATTTAATAATAATGAAAACATGTTCTATTCCTACACTGCAGATCATATTATACATAACATATATTATGTAGGTATAATATATATCATAAATTATTATGGTGCACATCGTGTAACTTATGGATTTTCACAATATAACTGATTGCAGCAAAAGACCACGAGTTTTGAATAAAAGTTATGTCTTCTACAAAAGTTATCCGGTGGTAGTGGTGATAAGAAAGAGGGATGGAATCAGTAGCGTTGTCACCGAGTCGAGCGTGGTGGCTYTATTAACCTTGACATTTAAAAGGTCACCTCACGACTTTTTCTACCAAGGCACACGGTACATACTATATACCTAACGTGCACATGTTATGCTAGCTGACATGATATATTTCCTTGAAATTTTCTTAGATACCGTTTTCGTACACATTTTTCACATAACATGTAAACAATAATAAACCGTAAAAGAGTACACCATTCGAAACGCTAGGGTCTTAAAAGGACATTTTTTTAAAGGCGCAAACATAAACAAAAGTCGACCACTCACCGGCTTCCCTGCGACTTCTTCATCTTCGGCCTCTTCGAAGACCCTTTGAGATCGATCGTGATCGGCATCGGCGAAGCATATCCGTGTTCCGCTTCTGCAAAAAATACGACGGTGTTTACGCGATCAGCGGTGACGGCTCCGTCGGTCGCGGCTGCGGTGTCGGCGAACGATGGCGGGGGGTACGGTGGCGACGCGGTAAACTTACCTCTTTCGCGCCTTTCCAGGTACTCGGCGGCTTGTAATAAAGCAGCGATGCTCATATTCAACGGCGAGATGATCAACACACAACCACGGTAAGTAAACAATCAATACACAACCGTGGTAAGTTTACAATCAACACACGCGTACCTACGCCCACGCACACTACTACACAGTCGGTCTAATGTGATTAGTGTCTAATGAGTATATTATTATTATGCCTCTTTCTAGAACACGTTTCTCCGCCTATATATCTATATAGAACAAATTTATCGTGACGATAAATTTTAAACGTCCCGGATTCGCGTAGGTATATTGCAGTGRTGGCGGCGGTCACACTGATAGAAGATTTCGTAGATTTATTAAACTTTAGTATAAATTAATCCAATAAACGGATATGTTTTACAATCAAACTATGGTAGGTATATCGCGTATGCTGAAATTAGTATAGGTAATATGATTATTATTATTATTATGCAAATCAATATTTCGCGGACCAAATCGAAACCGGACGGGAACTTGTGTTGTTATATTCTTCCAGTGTCCCCCGGGGACGAAATGACAAGCACTAGATCGCGGACGCACGCGACATAAACACACACTTAGACTCACACACGCACACACACACACACACACGAACACTCAAGCGAACTCCACGGAGACGCGGGTCACTAAACGGTCGTGCGAGGGTAGAATGCGGCGGATGTAGTACGCACAACACTGAGATGATCGGAGAAAAAGCGGATAAACTTTAAATTCGGTAAAAAACAACGACACTCCAATGAATAAACAGCGTCGGTGGCAGTGACCGCGACGATGATGGTAATGACAATAACAACAACAACAACAACAACAACAACAATAATGTGTAGCTCGACAGCTGCGGCAGCGGCGGCAGGCAGCGACGGTACGTCGATACCAGGATTGTGTTCGCGACTGTGGCCAACGGGTTATTGACGTGTACCGCGGCCGTTGTGTGCCACCGAGCCACCGACGGCGGTCGAACAAAACCGAATGGATTGCGGTGGCGGCGTACTGGGGGGATCACGTGAAACGCACGCCGCGTACGCGCTAACAGCTGACCGCGGCCGCCGCTTTATGCGACGTGTACCTCCGCGTAACGCGTCGTCATCGCCATCTATCCACCACTCCCGTTCCGTGGCGTCGTCGAAGTTTATAGTAACGACCGGCCGTYCAACATATTATATATTTTAGAGGAACCAAAATATCTAAACCAACTTCGTACACACTTTTGTACAAACGCAATAGGTAATTGACAATCGTGCTACACGTACTAAGTTTGCTAATTGAACGACACGGCAGCCATAAAAATACTTAAGTACCTACCTATATGACTATATTACATTGGGCTAAATGTATGTGTACATAATAGTATAATACCTCGTACAGTCATACGGTTATTTTGCCACCCTAAAAAAGGTAAACAGTGCCTATTTATAATTAAGCTCAAATGAAAGTGCAGTTAATAAACGTCAAATTTGATACTCTGAATATTAAATTTATTTGTTAGATTCCGAGCGTGTTTATAAATATTAAATAATATGTGATTTAAAGACGTTAAAGRCTAAACCACAATTATTAAATTATATTACCCATATTATTAGGATTTAGTGCCCCAACAGTTAAAAGATGGTTCTTGATGCCTTGTTGTTATAACGACTTAAACTAGCTGACTAATACTTCATACTTTCATAGGGCCATCCGGTCCTATGCAACATTTCCCAAAAATAAAAAAATATATCAAACGTAGCACAAAATGCGTAAGGTATTTCACGAATTTGATATAATTTAACTACAGTGTATTTCAGATTTTCCTCAAATATTCAAGTATTTTATTTATAATCGTATTTTAGAGCACAAAATCTGTCAATTATGATAAATAACGTAATCTCTGCGAGGCATATAGTCATCGAATRTTACAAAATATTAATTATTATAGGAAAAAATCAACTTATAACTGTGAGTTTGAGATTGCGATGAATGAGAGATGAATTTGAGATGAATACGAGTGGGAGTGGGATATGGCAATTGCCACTCTCCTTTCCATTGGACAGTGTTTTTGCGTAGTTCTAATATTCTATACCTAATAGTTTATTATAATTCCAAATTTTTTTTTTTTAATTATCCCGCGGCAACTAAGGCCATTGGGAAGGGGGTAGTACTGTAGGTTCTTATGGAACTGTAGGTTTGTTTTACACGTGGGTGAGAGTTTTGGCAGAATTTCTATTGGGGCACCCGCAGGTTTCTGCCATGCCCCGGAGTGGGGGATGGTGGCACTTGTTCTCCGGACACCGTGACTTTCCCGGAGAAAAATGCCGCCCGATGGTAGAGGATCGAACCAGGTCCGGCTGAGCCACAGCCGACGCGGTAGACCACTCGGCCACCTCGTCCCCAATTCCAAAATTATTATAGGCTAAACATATGTTTTCCAGAAATATAATTTCACACCATACAAATCCCTCATAATTATATAATGGTATACTATCTGTATAACTCAGAGTTTCCCGGTATTCCCTATATGTAACCGAAACGGTCAATCCATCTAAGGTGGATAGTAATAAGTGTATTTTATTTTGTTATGTAAACTGCGGTCAGAGAACCATTTGCAAGCAGAAATATATGAATATGGGGTTATGCATTTAATATTATTAATAACGGAAAATCAACAYTATAAGACGTATAATAACTGAGTAAATCTATTAGTTATTACTTTAACTTTCCTTGAATCGTCAAAATATGTCGAGTAATTTTTTACCCTATCAGCCTCGGTAATGCACTTTATGTTTTAAATGTATAATAGCTGTTTTTCATTGCTTATAATGCTTCTATTCTAATACTGTCAGTTATGGCCAGTCCAAGATCCCAAAWAATGTCTGTACGAAATTGGATTTCAATTGGTCAAAAACTGTGGATTTSCATATGACATGTCACTTAGATTTAATATGATCAATAATTCTATATCTATCTATCYTTTTCATTTTATTTCATCTTAAGTTGGTTTTTTTTTCAAAAATCGGTCGCTGATTTTTCTAGAATAATATACAAACCTCAATTTCACACATTGACATAATAGAATAGGTGTACATTATAAAATACTCGTAGTTACTAGATTTTATATTTTTTAATTGGTATAATAACTTTCTTAAATAAATTGACAAAACACATTAAATACAGAAAATTATCTCCAATCATAATAATAATAAAATTGTCCCTATTATATTATTACATCAACTGCAGGTATCTATTAACACGACAACTCAGATAACTTCAGAAGTCAGATCACTTAATATACTTACATACATTGTGTGATATCAGGGTGATTCTTTTAAGTGGGTACACTTTTTAMATTGTTATAAAACATATAATAATTATTAAAATTGATAAAATGTTTGAAATAAAATACAACACATGTTCATAAACATTCAGTTTATATAATATATAGAATATTTTTAAATTTTCCTTTTATGGTATTTTCAAGATTATGTTAATTTAATAGCAGTAACTATTAACTGATGTATAATCGCATTATATAGAATTTAGTGTTACACATAAAATAAATGATGTGTACCTATACTAAGTAAGTATTTTTTAAAAGATAAACCAAATGACTAATGAGAAACTATGGACCTTGTTAATCATATCAGTAAATATAATAGATTTTTTATTTTGTATGTTTTCTTAAATTTATTTTATTATAATTACTAGCTGAATTACCAGTTTTTGCTGGATTTATTAATTGTTGTTATCTATCAATATTAAATATTGTCTAGTTAAATCAAATTTAAATAAGATTATATAAAAAAATATGTCTTATTATATTAATTGTTTATTAAGCTGATTTTTATCGTTAATATAGTATTTCTCTTTTAACTACATTAGCTGTAATTCCTGTTGGTGTCAAAATAACAAAACTCGTGGGCTTACTGACTCTGGAGCAATGGCTTTCTCGTCTTTTTTTTTAGCTTCCTTGACTTGGTTGTTTTGAAGTCTATCTGTATATTTAGCACAGCAACGCTTCTTACTTTTATTTATTAAATTGTCTGTGATAGTAACATTATTAAAAATAGACAAATTGCTCTCTGAAGTAAAAATTACATTTTATGTAAAATTAGGAATATTAGGAATAGACAAATAAACATCAAATTCTTTCTATTAATATTTCCGGTTAGACGCAATCTTTTTACTGCCTACTGGGAATGTATCTCACCAAATTTGGCATAAAGATTATCATTATAATACATTTCAAATACATATGGGAAAATATTGCCAGCTGCAAACAATTCGCAGTAATCACCGTAGACAGCAAGATTTTTCATATCACAAATACAATCTTCAGCAGTGGAAAAGTTGTCATCATATGAATTGTAAGACATATTAACAAAGGTATTCCAATTATCAGAGACATACGCAACAATTGTATTTCGGATATCCTGGCATATTTCTTGAGTCTTATATAAATGAAAGGAAATTGAACGGAAAAGGCAGACACCATCACCAATAATTGGTACAACTATATAGATGGCGCCACTGTTGTATACTTATAACCACTTAATTTTACCTTTAAGGGTTGAATTTCCAAAAATATTTTCTTAAAGAACTGTGCAATTATAATATTAATACACCCTGAAAATTTCAAGCAGATCTGCCCTGTGGTTTTGGCTCTACGTGATCCCTCCGGAGGACAAATTCCTTTATATATTAAAATTTCTTTTCCGTAAGTTTTATCGTACAGTGTTATTAAACTTATCTTGTACTGCTTGTATAATAATTAAGCAGGCTATGATAACTTTATTGAACTAGTTACATTTATAGAGACAACTTGAAATGTGAGTATTAGTTTAACTTTATTTGTGTTYTATAACTGATGTAGTATATACCTACTTTCAAAAACTATTCGAATTCATAAGTTAAATTATTGAATTATCTCAATACAAATAAGAACTTTATTTATAATGGTTTATTCTTATTTAATTATGATTTCTATTTTTGTTATTTTAAATGTATTATTATAAATTATTAGACAACAATTGATTGATACTTGAAATAAATTACAAAAAAGTAGGTATGTCAGAAACGACAGCAACAACAATTTAATACCTAATTTTAATTTTTAATTATTAATAGCAATTAATTATGTACAATTATCTAGTAAGTACCTACCTGATCCATAGTATACCTCATTAGTTATAATAGGTAAAGAAAAAAATCTATACCTATTGATAAATTAAAACAATTCCGTACGTTAAGTGAGTAAGTTATATCCTAATCTTTTTTGTTTGTAATAAAATCTTTGAAAACTTAATGATTCTGGTGACACGAAACTTATATCAATTAAAGTATTATAAGTAATAAGTATCATGTATGAATAACTTACAATAAATTAGACTATTTTCTGGAGAAACAATTAAAAATTATTGCCGATTTTTACAGTTTTAGAATGCTGCAGCCTATAACAAATTTTTATTCAGCATTAAATTGGTTYTGCATTGCATATATGGAATATGTAGGTACCTATAGTTTTTGCAAGTTTGATATGTTACACAAATACGCRTCTTGTTAAAGATTTAGAGAAAACAGCTAGTACGATTTAATATCTGACTTTTATTATTGTTTTTCCTTGCCCCTGTGGAAACAGTTGTGAGTGATATGAATAAAAAATTGTAAGAATATTAATCTACATAAATACTACCAAAAAAGTTCACTATTAGGAGCATATTTATAAACACTTATGTATAATAGAAAATAGAAAGTAATATGCAATTGGAAGATGTAGTGACTGAGGTTGCTAACTTTTGGAAGATGCACGCCAACTAAGATTTCACTGCATATTTATAATTAGTTCACGATTACTTCAATGTGAATTAAAACTCCATGTGGAACCAGATCAGCGCGTGGCAGTTCCTAATATATATACATATTGATGCTACTAATACCT